CGGGCGGATTGTTTGAGCTCAGGAGTTCGAGACCAGCCTGAGCAAGAGCGAGACCCCGTCTCTACTAAAAATTAGAAAGAAATTAATAGGACAGCTAAAAAATATATATACATAGAAAAAATTAGCCGGGCATGGTGACACATGTCTGTAATCCCAGCTACTCGGGAGGCTGAGGCAGAAGGATCGCTTGAGCCCAGGAGTTTGAGGTTGCTGTGAATTAGGATGACGCCACGACACTCTAGCCTGGGCAAAAGAGTGAGACTCTGTCTCAAAAAAAAAAAAAAGAAAAGAAAAAAGAAAAAAAAGTTTAAAGAATTAACACCAGTCCTTCACTTAAAGAGGGACACTTCCCAACTCATTCAGTGAGGCTCCTATTTTCCTGATAATAAACCAGAGAAAGATATCACAGAGAAGAAATCTAAAGACCAGTATTGCATATAAATATAGATGCAGAAAATCTCAACAAAATACTAGTAACCTAAATCCAGCAGCCTGTAAAAAGGATTATACACCACAGCCAAGTGGGGTTTATCCCAGAAATACAAGATTGATTCAACATATGAAAATCAACGTAACTCTTTGTCAGTGGAATAAAGGACAACTGATAGGTGTAGAAAAACATTTGACAAAATCTGACAAAATTTCTCGATAAAAACACTTGCAAAACTTGGAATAAAAGAGAAGTTCCTCAATCTGATAAAGGGCATCTATGAAAAACCTACAGTGAACCTCATACATAAAGGTGAAAGATTGAAACTTTTCTTCCTAAGATCATGATTAGGATGTCCGCTTCTGCCATTTCTATTTAACATAATACTGTAGTTTTTAGCCAGAGCAATTAGCCTAATTTCAAATTCCAATTATTCGTTGCCAGTATATAGGAAATCAGTTTGCCTTTGTATACTAATGTTGTATCCTGTAACCTTACTTTAATTGTTTGTGTCCGTATGTGTTTATTTCTTACTTTTAATAAAACTAGTAGAGTTAATCTGTTTGCTTTAGATATCTTTTTTAAAGAATTTATAATGGTTTCATTGTATTTTATTTTTTCCTTGCAGGGAATGTCTTGGGAAGCATGAGGTGAGTTATGGGCACAATTTTTAAGTAAAGCTTATAATCTATACCTTTTCCATACTAGTTATTAGAAATAATAAAGTCAAAGTATTATTATTTCAGTGTTATAAAGAGAGCAAGAGTTTGTCTACTAATTTTAAAAGTATATGGTGCTTTTATTTGAGAACCTGCGTACATGCATTCGCTATGGAATCATGCTGAATTTTCCTTTTAGGAAGAGAATGCTTGCTTTTTTGCATTCATTTTTTGGAATATTTTGATACATTATTTTGGTTTTAATAATAAATACTATTAATGAAAACTTATTAGACCTTTGTGAAACTTGTTCTCAAATGATAGAGTCATTTTGGAAACATGGGTTGAGAAGGTTTCTTTTTGTGTGTGTGTGTGTTGTGCTAATATCCTTGTTTTTTTCTTAAGGTGAGTCCACTACCATGCCACGCTGTAGGACCCTACTCTTGTAAGAGAGTTTGTGGACGAACCTTAGATTGTCAGAATCATACATGCATGAAAGAATGCCACAAAGTAACTGAAGTGGATGGTTGTACTGCCAAAAACAAGGTAATGTTTTTAGGTCGAATGTATGTATGTTCACAGTATGCTTGAAACATTTTTTTCAGCAATTATACTATAAATACATTTTTCCATTTTGCTTAGCTTCTTTCCTCTTTTTTGCTCTCATTGCTTCTCTCTCCTTGCTTTTCCTAAGACAACTGACTTTACCAGATTGCTGTCTGTTGCTCTCTTTGTGCTAGCTCATAATAATGTGCCTTTTAATGTGGAACTCTTTACATGCTGTGCTGTGTTAATACCTAGGATGTGGTTTCATGATAGAAATATAGAAGTTATGTATCTTCTTAGAAGGTAGGTAGCAATACCACCTCCACTTCTCTCTGTTTGCATTTCTGAGTTTAGAGTGCTCAATTATTTCTCACATGGTGATGTTTATAAATTCCTAATCTTTTGTTGAAAAGTAAATAGCATCACAGATGTGTATGTCTATTTGTAGAATTAACTGTTTTACAAGCATGTGAGAAATCAGCTATTCAAAGATCTCTTAAAAATTGCCATTTCATAAGGAAAAACAACTGTACTAATCAAATTTTAAATAAATTCCTAATCTTTTGTTGAAAAGTAAATAGCATCACAGATATGTATGTCTATTTGTAGAATTAACTGTTTTACAAGCATATGAGAAATCAGCTATT